GTCAGAATACTGGTAACTGATAAAAAAACTATGTAATGTGGTTTTGAACATGCTCGCTCCCAAATCATAGCAACAGCATCCTCGGCGCCCGGCGTTGCAGTCTCCATAGGCCGCGCGACGTCGGCCCGCGGCCGTGACGCGAAGTGATGGCCAATAAACAAACGGAAAGGATGACGTATCTTGAGGATGATGGCTGGTGAACAAGGCACACGGGCATGTATGCTTGATGTAGTGCAAAAGTAAGCTAAACGCAGCCTTGATCTGAAGTGTATGGGGGGGGGGGGGGCGCCGTTAACACCGCTACCCCCACCTTGAAAAGCGGAGGGAGGGCATGGCCCCCTGGACCTCCTGTTTCTACACCCATACGATAGGTCTTGAGCTATAACTTGTTGCAAACAAATCCGACGACTTTTGGCCATATCTAGTGTCACCAAATTTGGAGCTGCAATGGGAGAATCAGGTGTGGGACATGCAATGGCGAAGGTTTCACAGTGATCGGCTCAGTAGGCTCTGGGATCTGAAGTGTCTGCATTTGCATGTACAATTTCCCCTTCGCGTTTTCAAGGTGTTTGACCTCAGATCAGGTCTCGATAAAGCCTTCCCATGACTCAACTCATTGCAAGGAATCGATTGGGGGATTCATGGCGATGGGACGAGCTGTTTCGGAAAACTTGCTTGTCTGCGTCATATGCCGTTTTTTATACCCTCGTCTCGAACGCTCGCCACGCGGTGGTGCATGGGGTTCGGTGCAAGGCTGCGGGCTGATGTTGGTTGTGTTCATGTCGTGAGGAGCTGCCTGGCTAGAAGAACGTAGCTGATCGTCGGCTTTTCAATGTAATAACGCTAAAACGCCTTACTGATCTGGAGGATTGTTGTTTGTGGATGCCTGAGTTGTACCTTCAGAAGTAAACGGAGGACGTTAGAGGGACTCATGCCAGAGATTCATCCGGGCTTTCTGCTGCTGAGAGGAACAGCGGCTTTGAGGTAAGGGGATGGGCATCACTTGTGTAGGCCTTTCACCTCGCCCGTTGCACCGCTGACTTAGCGCACTGATCGCTCGACCAGCGTGAGATAAAACGCTTTGTATTTTCAGCATATTGCATATAAAGCTTAATGAAGGTGCTGGAGGTGTCCAAAAATGTCTTTCAGGTCTGTTGATACCAGTGTTGCGTGGGTTTGCTCTGAATAATTGTGAGCATGCTAGGAAGCGTCAGGGGCGGATCCGGAGGAGGCACAGGGCCATGGACCCCCTTGGGCCCCGGAGGGGCCCATTGGCTCCGAAGGGGCCCACAGCCGGCCGAACAAGTGCATTTTTTTTGTACACAAAACGCAACAAAACCGGGTACCTCTGGACTTCTAGGCGACCAAGAACAGTTGTAAGCAAAAGTGAAGGGCCTGTGGGAAGCCCAAACAAATTATTCAATGATTAGAAAAGCTGTGAACTGGAAATTTTAAACCCCATTACACTGCCTGGAGGCCCCACGCTATTTCTGGGGGAACCATATGCCACTTGCAGGATTATTTCGATCGTTAGGGAGCATTCCACGTTGGCCTTCATCTCTTTGTATTTGCTCGGCGGGCCCTGCGCTGCTGTTGGGGCCCTTCCTGTCAGCGTGTCGAGTCACTCTGTCAGTCGCGGGCCCTCCCACACTCTTTCCATTCGCGAGAAAGGCTCTGTGGGCTATAGCCGTGGTCCCATATGTCAACCTGCCGGGATAATCTTGTTTGCTCAGGGGCCCTTTATGTGGGTCTCGGCTAACTTATTACTGTGAGCCTGGGCGAAATCCAGCGAGTGGCTACTCTAACGCCGCGTCAGTACATACTGCATAGATAAACACAGAACACGCACAAGGTACGCCAGGAACACAGGGTACCCTAGACCCTACGATTTTAGCCATCGAATTCGGAGCTCGATCACCGGAAAGAGCAAAAGGCACAACAGTAAAAACTCAGTCTTGGTGGAAAAACTGTTTGTTTTGTGCCTTGCAGGAACTTTATGAAGTCCCATTCTCAGCCATTGCGGTACCGGTCGTCTGGTACAGGCACGACCGCCAGCGCGTCCCGTACAACAGCCGGTACCTCATTAACGCTGCGGCCTGTTACGGCCGGCTAACCGACCGATCCAAGGCTACAGGGACAGTACACAATAGGTACGCCTATGACAAAGGGTGGAAAAGTCGCAAGTAAAATTGGAAGCGAAGGCTGGTATAGGATAGATTTTGTCAAGCGCATATGACAGTTCTGGTGGATCATACTTTGTGGTCCGACCTGACCCGACCCGTTGTTACTTCACGCAACTACCTTACCTATTCAGTGCAACCTGTGACCCAATCCGAGTCAACCGAGCCCAGCCAATCAAGCCCCCTCCCAGCACAGCCCAGCCCAGCTCAGGATCGATCGATGCTAGACGGGAGAACCTGGTCCTCGATGCCAGACAAACACGTGGGCATGCCCTCCCGCGGAGGAGATATCATGCATGACACACTTAAGAATACTAAGAGGATAAGCGAAAATCTGCAAGGAAGGTCGAATCGTGACCTTTTGAAAAAAATCTACTGGGAGATCCCTAGCATACTAGTGAGTTGAAGCCTGTAGTGTCATGGATACGTATTTTCCCCCACTTACCGGTTCGGCACCCGTACCACACAGCCAAGTCAGCTGGCACTAATCATGAGGTTTGAGAGCCCACTAACCTTCCCACCGGCGGTCCAGTCCCTGCCCGTGTGCGGCGAATTCGAACCGATCGCCGCCGACACACTCTGTGCAGGATGTCCGGTATCGTCAGACCATGCTATCGCATTTACATCCACGTCGACGCAAGGGTCACTCCGCCTCCTGCCGTGTTCGCAAGTGAGAATAGCCGACAATGTGTTTACTTACGGACCAGCGCGACTTCCGGCCGGTACGCAATCCGCGCTACGCGCCGCTCTCGAGCAGTGCCCTGTTCTTTGATAGTTTATCCGGTCTTTTCGGCGAGGCAGCGACCCAGGTAAGCGCTTTTCATCAGCGGGACACTTTCAGGTGGAGCAAGGCCTTCCGACTCGGTGGTGAAACATTTATTGCTCTTGTGTTTTCCTGACCAATTTACGAATGGATATGCGATTTCAGCGAAACATCACACAATTGGTACATTGGCGTATGGAGCTTTCATACGAAGTCCATTCGACATATCGTTTTGACAATGACATTGGCTTTTCAGTGTACACATCATCCAGGGGGTCGCCACCTGGTGCGGTCACACAGAGCTCACCGTCAGCACAGCGTCGACATGTCACAGATGGCAACACGGGTACAGTCACCTGGCGAAACGGCCCCGTCTGAATCCCCAGTGCATCCCTCTCGCATGATGACCAGCCGGGTACAGACGGCCAGCCGCAGCCAACAGCCGCCACAGAGCCCGGCGGTTGGGGGAGGGGAGGTAGGGGGTTGGGGGGTTGGAGGGGCTCAGCAGCGCACGCCTCCGTCAACATCTGGCACGCGGCGCAGATTACACCGCGGCCGCGGCGCCAACGCGAAGGCACGCGCTCCAAAGGGGCGTCGCGTCAATACGAATCCGCGCTTACTGAGGCACGTGCGAGGACGGGTTGCCGAGAAAGGGGTCCGAGAGACAGAAACCTTAATATGCGTGTATATAATCGTGAAAAGGCGGGCACACAACACGATTTCGTCTTATACAATATGCATGCGGTACAAAATGATGGCCTTTAAGATTATTATTCCAACTAGACTGCTAACGATACAAATATGCTCATCACTACAAAATGTATCAAGGTAATTGGCACACCACTTTAATTCGATAACCAATGATAAGCTCTGGGGTATCTACTGCGTATCCGCCCTCGGGTAAGGAATCGTTCCATATCAGTTCACATTCTAGTCTCCGGCACATATTTAACACTCTTCAGTTGCTATCCGAGATAAAGCTCCATCAAAGGAGACAACAGCCTGGGCGACGCCCACGATAGGGGACTGCGCTGCACGAGCATCGACATGCAGCAGGGCATACCGCCAAGTTCATTGAAGGACACCAGGAGGGACAGCTGAAGGGGTGGATGCATTACGACTAAAAACCCTTCAAATGACGCAAACGCTAAACGAAGCTGGTTGACGAGGTATCACACCTTCCATAAAACCGCCCGTACGGAAGACGTATACACGGATACAAAAGTAAAATTTAAAAAGATGAAAGACATGGTTGGCCCCACATCGATACAATTTACGCACGGTGTAGCTAATGTCGCGAAAAACGGACGCCTGATTTGTATGCGACGATTTAGCATTGTACTTTACCGTAAACGTCACGTTGCTGAATAATTTCACTGAACATGCCACAAACATTATGACGTGTAATACTGCCACTTTTGTCATCACTAGTAAGCGCATAGAGCGCACGGCGGACCGATGGTGAGCCGGCGACGTGCTTGGCCAAGATCTGCTACCAAACGCATACACTATATAATAGTTTACCCCTATCGCAAAGCCATGAGTAAATGCTTTGATCCCCAAACTGCATTACACATCGCCAGGCTCGAATCACTGACACGACACACGGTAAGTATGCAATGGATACGCCGCGGAGTAAATAATGCGCAGCTCGTTGCCAACGCCTACCATATATACGACGAGGTCACGAGGGGCGGCGAGCACGTTTTCGGAGTGCTCTTAGAGGGACGGCTTCGGTTAATGTGGTCCCTTTCCCCCATACCCTTAACGACATTGCACGCAAGGCTATGTGACACAGACGAAACACCGCCGAAACTGTTGCTGGCGCTGGCCGCGGCTGCGGTGGGAAGACGGCGCACCGTCCCCGGTCGACACAGCCGATCGGCGGCCAGGACGGCCTCCGAGCCCAGCCTCAGGGTCGCGTCCACACGGAGCGCGGAAGACGCCGATCGATGGGGTCAGGCGGCCGCTACAGCGGGCCATGCTCGGACCCCGACAGCGACTACACAGCCGTCTGCTGGCAGTGAGTATTCAAACAGCCATGCAGAACTGCGGGCGCTCTGAACACGTAAGGAGATTGACATACGAACACCCCGTTCGGGAATGGATCATGGATTAAAGTAGCAGTACAGAGACCGCGCCAAGAGGTGACTTCACGGAAACATGACCGTACCGAGCAATGAAAGAACCGACCCTGGGCTCACTAACAGCTGACAGAGAAGACCAGCGGTGCTGATCGCTGGCGTACGGTTCTGAGCACTGACGAACCATAAATTACAAGCCGCTGGCATAGAAGACAAATAGTTCTCGCCGCCGAGAGGAGGGAGACACTTCCCGTCGGTATTAACCACACATTCCTCGCCGCTGGCAGAGGACACTGTCCTCAGCGTTGCCCGGTGGCAGTCCTCAAAGACAGCGATTGATGCGGCCTCCCAGCGCCAGCAAGGGAGGCAGCCCACAGCGCCGGTAGAGGACAGCACCCGGCAGCGGCGGAGGACACAGCGCCCACCACCGGCGCGGCAGCCGCTCCGCCTCAGCGCTGGCAGAGCAGGCAGGCGCCACCGCGGCGCAGCAGGCAGACCGCGTGGAAGGCGTGGCCGCAGCCGAACACCTGCAGACCGTGGCTGTTCAGCAGCTGCCGGTTGCGCAGCGGCAGGCAGCAGGCCGGGCAGTCCGCCGACAGGGGTGTCACGTGCGCCGCGTGCCCGCTCGCCGACGGCAGCGAGGGCACCGCCGGCCGGCCTAGCTCGGCGAACAGCACGTCCACCGCCTGCGGCCAAGGCAGGCCGACCGTCAGCGCGCGCCGACAGGGGCGGAGCGTGGGTGAGGCGTGGATCTGTCTGGCGGGGCGGAGCTCGAGCAGAGTCATCAACGTGTGTTGAGGGATGACGTTTTTGAGTAAGCGCCAATGCACGTATTCAAGGAAAATCTTCTAGCGAGGTTAAAGGGAGTATTCACTTATGTACGGAGGTCTTAAATGGGATGGCCGGACTACAATGCAACATCCACAATCTGGCATTACGGCTGCTTAAAGCCTTACAGGAGCACTTTGTCGGCCGGGTTATTCCATACCGAACCTGTGCATAACAGAACAGGAGTGCCACGTGGTCCGGAATAGCAACAGCGGTCAACGGTCTGCCCACCAACCGCCACCCCGGTCGCTGATTGATGGGAATGACGTCACACGCGGCTTGATGCTACAGGGACCGAAGCATTTCCCCTTGTCTCAAAATTCACACTTCCAGCACCTCTGCAGGTAAACAAATCGTACGAACACGCTGAGTTCACGCTGTTTGATCAGCTTTGCTCTACCTGATACACTTGAACGTCGAAAGCGAAGCTACTTAACAAGGTGCGCCTTGGGCTTTACAAAATTCAACATAATGATTGGCGATCCCAACCAAAGCTCAGTTCACGCTCAGTAGTCCCATCTCAGCGTACCTCATCCGGCATTGGCGTCGGGGCCAGGTCCAGTCTCTGCGAGGCAAAGGCGGCGCCCAGACCTTGTGCTCTCCTCTCCAGTAAGGCGCTCAGCATCACGTCCCGGTAGCAGCTGAAAGGAACATTCCAGGTAACCCAAGTCCCGTTCACTGCGACAGAGTATTCTGAAAAGATCGCAATGATGCGTGTTCCAACACAAAACCCACGACGAGTTGCTGACCAAAGCGCAGTTTAAACAATCACCACACTAATGACGCGACACCGCCAGTCCTCCACAAGGATGCACCACAAAGGTGGGAGGCACGTCGCAGTGTGCGATACGGTAGAATACGATGGAGGATAAAATCGCCATGCAGGCCTTACCATATGTTATACCACGAATAAGTTAACAGGTGTTAGGCGCAGCATGGCAGGACACCCACGGCTCACAGACCCATCCATTCTGCTCCCCATCCCACCCACGACATCTGACCTCCACACACCGAGCCTGCGTCTAGATCGGCGCCGCCGCCGCCTAACCTGGACATCGCCTGCTGCGGTATAACGTCAGCACCGCCTCACCTGGCCGTTAGCTGCTGCGGCATGACGTCACCGGCGTCCTGCAGCAGCCGGAGGGCGGCGTCCGGGCCATCGGCGCTGGCGACGAACGACAGCAGCGTCTGCAGCATGACCGGCCGGCGGGGACCACGCGTGTCCTCCTGGCTGTCGGCCGGCGCCAGCGGCGCGTCGCAGCCGACGCAGCGGCCGGCGCGCACGGCGTCCAGCGCCGGCAGCAGCGGCGCCCAGCCGACGTCGTCGTCCAGAAGCGGCCGCACGGCCGGCAGCAGCGCCGCGTCGTCCAGCTGCAGCAGCGCGTCGGGCCGCGCCGCGGCCGGTTGGCCGGCCCGCAGGCTGCCGCCGAAGTCGGCCAGCGCCCAGAGCGCGTCGGCCAGCGGTGCGCTCGGCAGCCGGGCGGCCAGCAGCCGGCGGAAGAGCGCGGCCGCAGTGCCGGGCACGCGGTGCGCGCCAGGCCGCGGCCGGCCGCAGCGGCAGCGCAGACGCGCCGCACGCCGCCGCCACAGTGCCGTCAGCGTCGCCTCGGCCGCGGCGCGCAGCTCGGCGTCGGCCAGCAGCGGCTCGGCGTTCGGCGCGCGTGAGAGGTACTCGGCGAACGCGGCAGCGGCGCGGCCGCCCCGCGCCGCGTGCCGGCAGACGTACAGCGCGTCGACGGCCGTCAGCTGATCGGCGTGCTGTAGGCAGAGGGATGCGGCGGCGGCCGGGTCGACGCGGCAGAGGCCGGCCGCCAGTCGCACCAGCGCCGGCGCCGGCAGCCCGCTGGAGGCGGCCAGCTCGAGCGCCGCCGCTGTGCCGGACGGCTGCACGGCGAAGGCGCCGAGTCGCGCCTCGGTGCCGCGCAGCAGGCAGTGCCAGAGCCGGCCGCGCGGACCTGCCGGCAGCGCCGACTGCGCGCCGTGCACCGCGTCCGGCTCCAGCAGGTAGAAGAAGCGCCGCGCAGCCACCTCGGCCAGCCAGGCCGGACTGCCGGCGGCCGGGGCGCACGACACGCCGCGTACCTCCCCCGGGTCGGCGCCGTCGTCGGTGGAAGCGTTGCCGTCGTGTCCTACGGCGCCAGCGATGTCAGCCCTGGCGTCTTCTGATTCGGCCTCCCCAGGCGAGGAGCTGCCTAGTGATCCGCACACGATTGGTGCAGGCTTGTCATCGCAGCTGCCTGCAGACCTATCCGCAGCTAAGTCATATCCACTCTCTTCGTGATCCGAACGACTGAGCCCACTGGCTTCCGCCGCCAGGGCGTCTCCATCCACTGAGTGTCGTGTCGTCGCGCGGTTATCGGACGCATCGTTTGCCTCGGTACTTTCAGCCTGGACTTGTTCTGTGCCGTCTGCGTTATCATCATTCTTCACTGGCGCTCCTGTTATTTGGTTACCATCCGCGCTCACAGCCTTCTCATCCGTCTGACATTCAGTGATCTTCACCTCACAGCCCGACTCTCCGCCCCAGTCCGCCACGACGCCCGAGTCGTCCCTCGGCACCGCCCCGCCCGTGACGTCATCAGCCGTCGGCTCCGGCGGCACGCAGCCCGCCAGTTCCGGGCGCACTTCTTCGTCCCGCGCCAGAAACACGACGGCGCGCCCGAGCAGCGCCGCCACTCGCGCGCGCAGTGCCGGCGCCGCCGGGAACCGCCGCTCACAGACAAACTCTTCCGGCTCGCGGCACAGCTGGCGCAGCGCGGCGAGCGCGGCGCACCCCGGTGCCGCCGCGCGATCCAACCGGCAGTGTACGGCGGCCAGCGCGTCCAACCAGCCCAGCAGCGGTGCCAGGGCGAGCTGCTCTCGATCGGCGGCGCCCGTCCGCTCAGCCAGCGCCGCCTCCAGCTGAGATGTGGCGTCACGCTGCGGCGCGGGGGCCTCATCCGTCAGCTTCGCCGCCGGCCGCTCCGTCGATCGGTCGGCAGGCACGGCGGCGCCTGGCTGGCCCTCGCCCCGCCGCTGCAGCCGTTTGACCAACCGCTGGGCGCCGGAGGAGACGACACCACGCACGTCGCCCACCAGCCCGGAGAAGGCGTCCAGCACCTCGGGGTGCAGCGCCAGGCCGGGGGTGTAACCGTACACGCCCATCGCGCCGGGCCTGGTGGCCGACTCGCGCGGATGGTCGCCGGTCGGCGCGTCGTACCACTCGGTCGCGGCCGGCGGCGGCGCGTCGTGCTCGGCTAACGGCGGCGCGGCGGGCTTGTGCCGCCGACGTCGCGGCGTGCGGCTGGAGCGGAAGACGATTGCCTCGTCGGTCGGCGGTGCAGACTCCTCGGAGCTGGGTGCCGTGCGGAAGCCCTCCGAGCCTGAGTCGGGCACGGAGTCGACCGACGACTCGTCAGCGGCGACCTGCGCCGGCGACGGCTCACGCCCGGCGGGCTCGTGCGTCTTCGAACCGTCCGACGACTGTTCCCGCGGCGCGAGCGTCGGTCGCCGAGTGGAGACGACTGTGGCTGCCGCCGCCGCTCTCTTGTCCGGCGGCGCAGTATCCCGGCCACCCGCCACTGGTGGCGGCTGGTCTCCGACAGCCTCCGCGCCGTCACTCGTCTGACGCTGGGCGGGGGTCGCCCCGTCGGACACAACTCCCTCCGCTCTGCCGCCGGTCGCCTCCGCCACCAGCCCGCCAGCCGCCGCCGCCGCCCCATCCCCCCGCTCCGCCGACACGCCGCCGGCCGCTTCCTCGGCGTCCTCGGACAGTCGGTCGCGCAGCACGGCCGCCAGTCGCGCCAGTTCGGCCCGCATCTCAGCGTCGTCGGCGAACGCTGGCAGCGCCTCCTGCACCACGTCGAGCGCGCGCCGGCTGCGGCACAGGTCGGTCACGTCGCCATGCGAGACGAGGAAGCGCGCGCAGTCGGCGGCGCCGCGCGCCAGCCGCATCTCGCGCACGATCTGCGACGGCGGCAGCGGCCGGAGCCGGCGCAGCGCACCACCCTCGCACTGCACGTACAGCTCATCGCCGACGGCGGCCAGGTCGCGCACCTTGCGGTGCACGTTGGTCCAGAGCAGCACGCGCCGCTCGGCCATGTCCACCACGAACACGGCGTCGCCGGAGAAGGCGGCCGTGCCGCCGGCCAGCAGGGGCACCAGCTTGACAAAGCCCAGCGCCGCCTTGCCGCCGCCGCTGACGCCGTCGAGCAGCGCGGCCGGCTCGTCGCAGGCGGAGACGACTCGACGGGGCGCCGCCTCGTCCAGCGCCGGCCGCAGCTGGTGCGTGCTGACGATGCGGCCGCTCAGTTCCACCTCCCAGAGCCGGAGGCCGGGTCGCGCGCAGAACACGACCTCGCCCAGGAAGCAGGCGCCCAGCCGGCCGGCGCGCGGCTGCGTGCCCACCTGCGCGAACACCTCGATCTGGAGCCGCGGGGAGAGGGGGCACAGCTGATAGATCTGACACGAGGGCTGTTTGGACGGCACATCGAACCGTCACGTCACGCCAACTTGCAATTGAACTGTGCGATCCAACGCTTCCGACGATCCAAGATCAGGAAATGATGCCGAAGGAGTGCCAAGAACAAGAGGTCGCAAAGATGAAAATGCCGTCAAAAAGCCACATTAAATATTTTCAGAGCTGCCCAACGAACGTATCATGCTGGATCTAGCACAGGAAAACTAATGTCTGAAATCAACGGATTGGTGGAAGGTCGACGAAAATACCATCTCACATGGCACGGTCCAAATGAGCCACGTCAGCCGGCATAGTCGTGTAGTGAGGCAGCGTGGCGCCTCTGCTGACCTGTATGTTGCAGAGGTAGCAGAAGCTGAGGGTGGAGACCAGAAGGGTGTGGCCGTGCAGCACCATGTCGCACACGGCCGAGTCCAGCTGCAGCATTGGTGTGATGGTGGCGGAGGCCGCCGGCGTCTGCCCGGCAGCGGAGGCGACCGTGAGCACGGGCTGTCACACCCTACCCAGCAGATATCGCTGGCATTCCGTTACTGGGTATAAATGTCACACATTGCACACGAACAAAACACAGTGCGCATTTCAGAGGACGGTAAGCTTGACGGCCAGACCATGACAACGCTGCTTCCTGACATGAGCACCATTTTCTATTTGCATGAATAGCACGCCAACCGACCCCTTTACCGAACAGAGCACATCTCGACAGCTAGCCACTATTCCCATGGCAGCATCCCACACGCTGCATCCTGAACCAAGTCACAAACCACGCACTAAGCCCATCCATCCAGCCGGCGCCAGCCACCAACGCCGCCGCGCCCCAGGTACCTTCTTCTTGCCGACGCCGATGGAGAGCACCTTGCCGGCGGCGGTGCCGACGTAGACGAGCCGGCCGCTCCAGTGGGCGTGGCGCCAGCAGAGGGCGCGCACCTCGGCGTCGAGCCGCGCCAGCGCCGCCAGCTGGCCAGACCAGCTGCGCGCCGTCGGACAGGCGTACACGGAGACGGCGCCCTGCTGCGAGCCGGCCGCCACCAGTTGCTCGGCGCCGTCCACTGCCAGACACGTGACCGGACCCCACTGCCGGCGGCACGTGTGACCGTGTGAGGGTGTGGGGGGGGGACGTGCCTAGGGGGTGAAACACGCGATGACAGTACATGGCGAGGCAGAATGAGGTCGTGTGCAGGGGTGAACGGGGAAACGTGAGCAGACTGGCCCGAGGAGTATAAGGAACTCCGGACCGGTTTCGTCTCGCTCACTGAAGCATGTCGCGACAACCGTTTGCGAAAAAACTGACAGTGAAGCGAGCTGCTTAAAGCAGATATGCTCACGCGTCTGTTCAGTGGGCGTGCACTGAATAACAACGCTCATCTTCTCGAGTGCTAGGACAGGGTAATAAGCGATTCATCGAGTGATGAGCGGACGATTTCGATCACTGGACGGCCATCGATCGGCCTCGTCGTTGGCCCGAGCCATGGCACGCCCGGTTAAAGCGCGCTGGCTCGGCAGCGACGTGCCCTGTTTAATGGCTATAGCCTACTAGACAACTTTTAGGTGTAAACAGGGGACTTTGGAAATGTGAAAATAATTACTGTCCATCTGCACTACTCAACACAGCTATTCCATAGCCTTCTTGGCGTAAGACCACCCTTTGTCTTAGATCATACCCATCACTTCTCAGATCCTTTGATGCCCTTTCTGACATTCCGTTACCAAAGCGAGGCAGCCGTGTCCCCTTTCCTCGCAAAATCACCAAAACGTTCCGCCTGGCTGTCACAAACGCCTACCTCGTTCACCTTTACCGGCGTTTTGAGGGTGAGCCACGGCTCGCTTACCTGGCCAGGCAGAATGCTGACAAACTGGCGCGAGGTGCGGTTGAACACGTACACACCGCCGGTGTTGGTGCCGATCATGATGAACTGGTGAGACACCGTGAAGCATGTGTACTGCAGACGCGAAACATTAGTCAAGAGGCTGCTCACTGACCCATCTCAGAAATCCGCAGCACCCATGTCACTTTCCAGGGGGAGGAGGCTAGAATTGGTATACCCAGGGTATAGCAGGGAAAGGAGGGGAGGTTTCGGACGGCGTGACGTCACGCTCAAGTGTGGCTGCAAATCGTTCTAAAATCTTCAACAAACTAAAACCTTATGGCCGTACACCACCGGCTCTCTATCACTAAAGAAACACACCGTTATTTGCTCCGCATCTCTAGCTGAATTTAGGGCCATACTGACGTTACGTTACGTTATACTGACGTTACGCTAATACAGCGTAACCAGCGTACAGCGTACTTATATTTAGGGCCATACTGACGTTACGCTAATACAGCGTAACCAGGAGACGTCTTCCACCCAGCGTAGCCAGCGCGTAATTGGGGGGGGGGGGGGGGATGGAGACTTGAAAATGGCCAAACATGTGTAACGTAATCCATGGGCAGCACCATGCCGAATAAACCACCTGTATTTCGTTTTAAGCGGTTGAAACTAAAGCCACTATTTTGACCACAGAACGATCCGAACCGCATCGAGTAATGAAGTAAGTTTGGACCAACATGAAAGGTGCTTACCTGTATTCTTGTTCTTCCCTTCAGGGGCTGAGCTAGGCCCTCCAGCGAGACATCTTCAAATGCCAAATATGGCTCCATGGTGGCAAATGGCATGGCTTACTTTGGCAACATTAGTGCTAGCAGCACCTGTTGGATATAATGCGCCATGTAAACTCTACCACATAAAGGGCATACATCATGGGTGCAAAGCACTCCATCCAATTCCCCAATTATGTAACAGCTGTTAACTTTTCCAATCATTCCTCCCTTGAAATATGACAAACTATGGAAAGTCTGAACCCTGGGTTACATTTCAGTTCACACATAGCCTTTCCTCAGCTGTACTTGACCATCGCCCGGGTCCACCATTTTTAATGACGCGAATGAGGGGAGCGGGTCGATGCGACCTGTTGCCGTTTCCAAATAGAAAAGATACCATGTCGCGGGAAAAACAGTGAATTGTCGTCAGCGAGATCTCAGTATTGATTACAAGTTATGAGTTGAAAACTAGGTAAATGAGCTCAATAAGCAATTTTCATGAGCATACAGTTTCGTTATGCATGACGTTATTCACATCGCTGTGCAATATACATACAACTTTTATATATATAGTCCTCATTTAATGCTGAACACATGGCCATATGGTTGCATGTGTTTTTAGCAAACAATGATATTGTAGGGTTACTGAACGCAAGCATCTTTACTGCCGTCCGTGCTGTGAGAATTCGTCAGTTGCCGCTGTCACCCGCAACAGCAGTAATTACCGTAAAATGCTTCAAAAGATGCATCTTTTAGAAACCAGAAATGCTAGACATGCTTTTGGTGTCAATATGCAGAATGAATGCCACAGAGGCTATCTAAAATTTAGGCACAATTACATGACAGACTAGGCAGATATTGCAAAAACCTTGGAGGAATGATCACATTGATTTTTATGTATCAGGATGAAGAATGGAGCTAAAATGATACACTTAACATATTTCCACAGATACGAGCATCAGCACTTGAAAGCTCTCAACACCATGACAATTTGATACCCTTTCCCCCATGCAGCCAAACCTGTAGATAAACAGCTCATCAGTCCCCAACTTATTTCTGACAATTTACAGGGTGGTTTTACCTATGGTGTTGCCTATTGTGCAGACAACATATGGCTTGGTAAAGATGACACATGGGTCTGATCACATTTTACCTAGCCTGCATAGGAGATTGGGAATTTGAATTGTTACACAGTATAACAGTGCTGACATTTGTATCTGTAGATTAGGTATAATGTTTCATTTTGGCTTCAATGATCTTAGGACTGATTGTGCCCAAAAGCAAATATAACATAGAATTTTGGTTTCAAGACATTTCAAACATTTCCTTAAGTCTGATACAAAATTTGACTTTAATGCTCTGCTCAATCACAATATTTTGAATTAAACACTTCATACTTTAAAATACTAAAAATTACATAACTAAACACTACCCAAACAAAAAAGGCATGTGAATCAGAGGCAGGCTTCATCATGAGCACATTAACTTGGCTGTTAGAGGCCTGATGACTAGCCTTTACAAAAGAGCAAAGTTAGGCATGTCTGCATGGTGGACATGGCTACACATCATGCAATGTGACATTACTTTGTGTTGCAAAGCAGAGATCATGTCTAGCACTTTGCAGCTTATAATCATGTTCATTACCAGAAGTGCTGCCTATTTGTGCTGTTGTAATAACATTTAGTCTTTGTGGTATTGTTTCCAAATATGGCCTGATTTTTCAAGGTATGTGTAACTCACATGCTACAAGAAAAGATATGAATTAGTTCTGATATGAAATCCATCTGATCCAAGTAGTATCTTCCTGTGCATGCATATCTATAGCTTGTAAATATCTGTGACATGGGTGGTTCAAATCTAAGAGACAGCCTAGAAGTAACACATAACATATTATGCATACCTTTTCCCAGTTTTGGTCATAGTGCAGGCAAAATGGGCATGTTGTCATATTTAGCCTTGATACATTTTTGCTCATGTCAAGATGTCAACTGATAGGCACACAGCAAACCATAACAAAATATACATTACTTGTAATAGCTTGAACAATAATGTATTTAACTCCCTAATTGCAGATGACAATGTCATGATAAGGGTAATACAGATGACAAACTGCATTTCAGCAATGTTCCAGAAGGTCATGCTTTCAACTGGTAAGCAGCGAGCAAACCTAGAGCATCAAACAACATAGAAACATCACCTGTGACAAGTTTTACAATATTCGCAGATGCTGGTATACAATACCCACATCACAAGACTGCACTGTTCATACTCTATGTAAAAACAGTTTCAGGACTTAGAAAATGCTTAGACAACACCAATGCCTGATATATGATGCCATCACACTACCCTGAACCAACAACATAGTCCCATTAGAGCCTGCTAGGGTTTGCACCAGTGCTGCACAAACTATATTCAAGTGGAGGGGGGGGGGGGGGCAAACTCCCAAAATGCCAAAATGAGCCCTCTCTGATTAGATGGTGGGATCTCTACAGGCCAGAATGGGTCCTCTACAGGCCAAAATGATGGGCACACTACAATCAGTGATAAGTCCTGTATAGGCCTTCTACAGGCCTAGGCCTTAGGCCTTCTTCAATCCTTAACAATCCACAATGGACCTTCCGCAGGTCATTATGTGCCCTCTACAGGTCATGATTGCCCCTAAAGACCAGAATGGGTTATTTAAAGTTCAGAATGAACCCTCTACAGGCTGACAATCATCTAATTTCAGTCAAATTCAACCCTAAATTGTCCATGAGCAGCACTCTACAGGTCAAAATGGACTTCCCATGATTACATAATCCTTCAGTTCAGGATGGGCCCTCCATAGGCCCTCCAAATTGGTGGAGGGAGGGTGGGGAGGGACCAACCCCCAGCCTGCAAGTTCAGGGTCAGCTGCTCCAAAAGCCCCCCTCCACTATCAGTTTACACATCCTTGGCTTGCTATATCAAACAGTCCCTTAGAGCATAAACACAATTGGCAAAGCATGACCTGTACCAGAATTAGACAGAACATGTACTTAGCATTAAATGCAAACCTTCTCCAACGATTACAAAAGATAAGCATGGCTTCACGCCAACCTGTTGCATTGCGAAAAACCAGCACACACGATTTGTCTGGTTGGTGGGCACTTCTGCCATGTGAGCGCTATTGCACGCCAGCATACATCGACACATAGCATGATTCAGAGCATATTGGAAATACCCAAAATCATATTTGACCTCACGCACGAAAAGAGGATCCAGGCACATGCCTGGCTCGCTGGCCGTACCTGACCCCTCCAGCTCAACATTTTACAGCCTTGAGGCCGAACCCCATCCGTGAGAACCCAGAGTGTAAAAACCAGGGCGATGTGTTTCATAATGGCGATGGGATCAAATGTATTTACAGCGCCATTTAAAGACGCATTATGGGCCTCCGAAAACGTTTTTAATAACGTGAGCATATGTGAAGATTCAAACCTTGTAATGACCAATCATTTGCGACAAATTTCAAAAATTGTTCTTGAATAAGAATGATGAAAGTATCAAACAACAAAAACGAATGATTTATCGGCTTGAATCGCTAGCTATCAACTATATTTTCTCGTTTTTGAGGTCTGTGCTGTTGTTTACGTCTTGAATCGAATGTCTGCGGTAGTTCTTCCGTTGGGATTCGTTAGGCGTCTTTGGATGGACTGTGGCGAGGGGTCGTCCGGGAGTGTGGGAGCGTGGAGGGATGGAATTTATACGCGAGGATTGCGTGCGGCACATAGGGTAAGGCATGCAAGCACACAGACCTGATGTGTGTTTTATCGAAGCTATCGATTTTTGTCTAGGGCCAATCGCTGCCAATCGCAGTAATCACGGCAGGAATCACGCCACCTCTGCATTTCGTTTGCGTCAGACTTGTTTGATCGATGCATCGGGGACGTGAAGACTGCCGACTCTCGATATTTTTCACATTCATTGGTGTTTTGGAATTTGGTTACAATTGGTCATGGCATGGGTATGTACTGTGTAGGTATCTGGGGTGATGGTGACAGCGTACATAGCTGCCGAATGTGTGTGAAAAGTTTCTGTAATTATTTGTGTAGCATGCTTGATGGTCTTAACACATTTTTCATACCTTTTCTGATTCTGAGCCCAGCTGCATGTTCTGCCCAACTGGTCATAATGATAAGATAAGTTCTATGTTATTTGTGTCAATTCAGAACCTGACTGTACATGCCATACAAGTGGCACATGGTGATGAGGAAGGTGTCATGCTGTCTGCCATACTTTTTTGTGTCCCTGCACTGATTACAAATTGCCTTTACATATTGAAATTCAAATGACATGGCACATCAGGTTAGTAATAAAACACAGCTTTGATAATTTTAGACATCTTCCTGCTTAATAAGAGATCATGGTATAAATGTACATAAGGCCCTGGCTGCATGCATATAATGTGCATTGATCTCAATGAATAAGCAATGAGTTCCCAATACCAGCTTTGTTAGGTGCTGTATAACAATATGAGTTGTATCAGTATAAATTTCATAATTGATGATTTATTGATCATATTTACCTATTTTTTACTGTGGCAGTATATTGATTTTTCCTGGTTTTCTATTATAGACTCATTTAATGATTCTTATAATTTTTGCATTTTGTCTAGGTAGCTGTTGCATGCTAGTATGCCCCTCTAACCATCAGCCAGAGTCAGCATAGCTTTCTGTAATATAGATTAGCTTATGCATAACAAATAACACATATGCTATATAAAATACCATTCAGGGTACCACCACTGTTATATTTCACCAGCCAATCTCTCTCTCTGTATGTATGTATATACATATATATATATATATATATATATATATATATATATATATATATATACATATATATACATGTTGATAGATATGTTGAGCTGATACTTTGAGCCATCTGGATGTGGTGCATTTTCTGGGAAGTGGAGATTCTGCATTGCCCCACCATTGAGTCCCTCAAGGGATATGCCATTTTCCTCTCAAACTGACATGCCACACAAGAATTATCAAAATGATTGGCTTTTTTAGATGACATTGATAACTGACACATTCACAATCCTTCCAGATGCTGAATGGTTGGCTATGAAGGCGAGCCGACCGACTATCATCGAGGTGCGCGGCTCGCGGCTGGGCCTGGACATCAAGAGCGCGCCTCGCTCGCGGCCCAGCTCGGCGCAGCCGGCCGTCGGCGGCGGTCGGGAGGCGCGGCCACGCGTGGTGGTGCACAGCCAGGCGCCAGCCGAGGCCCGGCGCGGCCGCACCACGCTGCTGAGTCGGCCACGCAGCGCGGAGCGGCCGGCCAGCGCGTCCGTGCGCGCTGCCCGGCCCTGCGCCGCCGCCACGCGCTCAGTCAAGGCGGGCCCAAACGGCCGGCGCCCGAAGAAGACGCCGGTGGTCGGCGGCGCGCGCGGTCTGGCGGCGTCTCAGCTGCGGTGGTCGAGCAGCCGCGGCGACGGCGTTGAGAGGGAGGCGCACGAAGAGTGGGCCGGCGGCGGGGAGCGGCACCGCCAGGAGACCAGCGTCTCGTACTCGGCCTCGTCGCTGGGCGGCCGCGGCTGGGCCGGCGGCACCAGCGAGTCGACTGCCCAGCAGCGGCGCAAGGGCGTCACCTTCTCGGACACGCTGTCGGCGGACACGGCAGACACGGCGCCGGCGGACACGGCCGACACGGCGTCCACGGCGGTGCCGGCCGAGCCGCCCAGCTCCGGCTCCGGCTCCGGCCCCGACTCGGACGACGAGCAGGAGGCGGCGCGCCGGCGCGTGGCGACGCGCCCGCTGCCGGCAGCCCGAGTCAGTGACGAGCTGATCGGCGAGCTGCTGGCGCGCGGCCAGGAGCTGCGCCAGCGCATGGCGCGCCTGATCGGCCGCCAGCTGGAGCGCACCGGTTCCGTCACGCCGCCCGAGAGCGAGGTCGAGGCGCGGCTCGCCGATATGGGAGTCATCTGGACCAAGCAGCAGGTGGGTTCTGCCGGCCAACAACAAGGCAGGGCTGCTGCTGCTGCTGCGTGCGTGCGTGCGTGCGTGCGTGCGTGCGTGCGTGCGTGCGTGCGTGCGTGCGTGCGTGCGTGCGTGCGTGCGTGCGTGCGTGCGTGCGTGCGTGTGTATGTGTGTGTCGGCACTTCTCACACACACATAGCCTACTTGGCATGCCTGGTTCGTTTGCTGTCGTATTAGCCGTTTCTTAGGTTAGTGCTCGGTGTTTCGGAACTTGAGAGTTCACCTGATTTGCCGGGGGTGAATGCTCCGTCGTTGACTGCAGTCGGTTTCGTTGTGGCGGTGCGGCGCGCCGTCTGCTTCGCTCAACATTCAGCCGTCTGCCCTCAGCGGCCGGCGTGCTCCGCGGCTGGCCCCTCGGCAGTGCCGCCGGCCGGCCCGGCGGCGCCACCGAGGTCACGCACGCCGTTTACACTGCCGTCCGAGAGTTCGACGTCGGCGCTGGGCTGCGTGACCTCGACAACCACGCGCAGCTCGGTGCCGCGCCTCGAGCTGCCGCCGCGCTCGGCGCTGTCGGCCGACCCGGCCAACCGGCGCCCGCTGCGGGCTGTGGCCGGCCGCCGCCCGGCCAAGTCGGGCAACATCTGTAAGTCTCGGGACGGGGCGGCGCTGTCGGGTGGCCCTCATGACCCTCGTGAAGCGTGTTGTGTTGGTGGGAGCCTGGTGTGACTTTTGGTCATTGGGACCGGGGTTATGACCCTGCGCAGAAATCTTATCCACATTATTTTGTAGGGGTCCGGCATGGGATCAGCCGATATGAGAAACTCGTCGTTTTCATGGATCGTGATGTGTTGCGTGCGACCGGCAACCGTAAGCGGGCATCGGAGGCCTCGAGTTGGTAAGGCCCTGAAAGAGTTCGCCGCCCGTGAGCTGATCTTTGCGTCCCCTCCCGTGGCCACGTCCGTCGCCATTCGCTGCCCTCCCGCCGGCAGCGTCGCGACTGCCCCTGCTGCAGCGGGCCAGCTTTCTGCGCGTATGCGTCGAGTCGGCCACGCTCGACCCGGTGTTCGTGCGCTCGGTGACGTCGGCGCCGGACGCGGCCGACACGCGCGTCTACCTCGAGTACCAGCTGCCGCTGGAGCAGCCGGCGGCGGCCGGCCGCCGCAGCACCCGGCTCGGCGGCAAGAGGATCGCCGCTGGTGGGTGGACCAGGAGGAAGGTGGCGGCCGTGGGTAGCGATGAGATGCCTGGTTGACGACGCTACGCTTTAAGGACAGCGATTTGTCATATCATTGTGTTGTGTCAGCTTCTGCTTGTAGGCAAGGGACGCATGATGGAGCGCCATTCATTTCGCATTGGTTACCAGTTCGGTTCAGTGTTCATTCGTGTCGGTGAGGCTGCCGTTTGAGTTTGTCCGTCACCTCTCGGTTTGGTCCTGTTTGACCCTCGCTGAGCACCCGTGACTGAGGCGTGGCCCCCGTCTGACTTCTGTCTCCATCGTCCGCCGCAGAGATGGTCTTCAGTCACCGTTCGGTAGTGCCTCTGCGCCTGACGGCGGCAGGCGTGCGCCTGTGGCAGGCCTCCGAGCTGCAGGTGACAGCGCTGGGCCAGGCCGCTGGCCGCACATGGACACTGGCCGTGGCCGCGCTGCCTCTGCGTCAGCTGCTGCGCGCGCCGCGGCTGGCGCTCAGCCGCCGCCTGCCGCTGACGCTGCGCGCCGCCGGCCGCCCGCTGGTCGGTCACGTCCGGCTGCGGCTGCAGCTGGGCTCCGACCAGGACGACTTCCACGCGGCGCTGACGGCGCCGGGCGCGCGGCGCGCGCCGCGGCCGCCGCCGTCGGGCGCGGGCGACGCCGGCGACTCGGAGCCCGAGCTGGAGGAGCTGACGGAGGAGGCGGACGAGCCGGACGAGAGCGGCGAGGAGGTGGAGGAGGAGGAGCTGGTGAAGCTGGTGAAGGAGGACATGCGGTACGAGGAAGAGAAGGAGAGGCACGTGCAGTCGGACCCGTGCCTGCTGCCGGAGAGTGGCCTGAAGGCCTCGCAGCAGGAGCAGCAGCAGCGGCAGCCACTGTCTGAACGGAACCCGGCACCAGCCAGCAATGACAAGGTAAGGCCATAGATGGTTGGTTATGGACCACAGGCCTGCTGAACACGGCCACCGCGTGTTCGGGTCATGCGTGGTGACTCGGTCTGTTGTACTGAATGCTTAATGAGCCGTTCAGTGTAATTTGGCATCTCACGGGTTTTGTGCTGCCTTGTTTTGGTTATCTGTTACAGTTTGAGATAAACATTTGGTATGTGTCCAATACAGATAATTGACGTGTGTTCAATACCTTTTCGCAAGATTGCATGGAAGGTAGCAACCAGCATAATGTTCAACATCATGTGAGCCATATGATCGCGCAGTTTAAGCGCCGGAAGGTCTCCCCTCAATATGGTGTGTGATGCATGCATAGCAATGTAGCTGCAGAACATAATGTCATATTATATCATATGTATCCATAATCTAACGTGGTTTTAAACGGTACTAACAATCAGGCAGCAATCACAACTCCTCTGGTAGGAGTTGTGACTGACAGATGAGCAAGCTAGTGTCAGCACTGGATAGCTGTATTATGAGATCAGCCAGGGCGGCTTGGTCGTGGCGCGTCGTCGTCGAGGCCCCACCGTCGCGCCGCCCTGTCTCCGTCCGCCATCGCTGCCGCCGGGCCCGGCGTCTGCTAACCTCCGTCTCTGTGCACCGCTCAGGTGCGGCTGGTGCACTGGGCGCTGCACGTGAGCTGTGGTGCACCGGCCCGACCCGGCGCCCTTCGCAACACCTACCTGGTGGTGCGCGCCCCCTGGCTGCAGCAGGCCGCCTCTTCGGTCACCTGCTGGGCGGAGGAGGAGCCCCAGTACGACTACACACTGGTGAGGCGCCGACGCTCCGGACGCTCTGGGGCTGGACGGCTCCGAACATCGGCCGATAGCACGGCTTAGGTTCGGTTGCCACCAGCCGCTGACTGCTCACCAGTGTAACTCGGTCCGGCGTGAGCTGCTGAGCCGCTAACGGCTGATTGGCATTCGTGTGAGACCGCTGGTCTGACGTGATCTGTTGAGCTGCTGACGGCCGATTGGCGTTCGTGTGGGAACGCCGCTGTGTTATCAGTCGCTGATTGCTCACCAGTGTAACTCGGTCCGGCGTGAGCTGCTGAGCCGCTGACGGCCAATTGGCGTTCGTGTGGGATCCGTGTGGGAACGGCTCGTTCCGCTGTGACATCAGCGTGCCGTCCGGTATATCACCTGTCATTTAACGTACCGTGCGTATAACTCACGAGCGCCCCAGTGAATGAGGAAAAAGCCACCAGCAACTACGACACCCCTGCCGAGTCATCAGCTAGCATACAGACACGTACGTCCGTGGTGCGCTCCCTCCGTGACAGGCCCACCCCTGCGGACAGATATCCCCGGTGCTGCTGACAGCGCCCCTGGTGGCGCGACTGCACAACAATCTGCTGGTGGTGGAGGTGTGGCAGCGCTCGCACAGTCCCGGCCAAGACCGGCTGGTGGGGCTCTGCCGCGTGCCCCTGGAGCGGCTCTACCTCACCTTCTCCCAGCCGGACGTCACCGAGACCGTGCTGCAGATGAAGGTGAGAGGGGGGCTGCCGGGGTGTCGGTCAGCTCATCTGATCTCGTGTGAGAACATCCCTGTCGGCCTGTCATGTTGGGGTATGGTCTTCAGGGACTTCTGCGCCGAGAACTCCTGCCCGTCACGAGTGCCCGGCCGATTGTCAACACTGGCCGCTGCATTCCCCGCTGTTCCCCCAGTCCCCAGCGGCGGTGTGACACGCGCGAGGCCCGCCTGACGTCGTGTGACCCTGCTGCCGGTTGCAGTCGCCGGTGATGGCGTACGAGGGTCGGGCGACGGTGACCCACCCGGCCACGGGCGCCACCCCCGCCCACCTGCAGCTGACGCTGGCGGCCGGCACTCACCAGCAGGTGGAGCAGTGGGGCGCGCCCCCGCGCCAGCGCCGCCAGCGCAGCAAACAGGTTAGTTGCCCACTCTGGCGCTGGGCCTGTCGTCGCTCCGTATCTGTCTGCGTTGCTTTGCTCGTTTGTTTGCCTGCGTCGACTGGCTTCTGATTTTTTAATGCGCTTGACAACGAATCAGGATAAAGTCTTAACAATCGACGGGATTTTATTGAAAACTAGTTTCCAGCAGCACAAAAGTATGTTCTGGTTTAGTTATTCATCTATGATCGTGTTCTCAAATTGTGGCGTGTGTATTTGAGCCGATGCTGAACAGCGCGTGGTTCGCCATCGGCTTCCCAGGCGGCGCCACCTCCGAGCAGCAGCTGCATCATTAAGCTGAGCCTGGACCGTCTGCTGCACGTGCCCGAGATTAACGAGGCCAAGAGCGGCGAGGTGGACTGTTTCGTGCAGTACACGTGGCCCACGCAGGCTGGTGAGCCGCCCGCCCCGGCCGGCCCGTCCTCTGAGTGTGCTGGTGCAGACATGCAGATTGGCATCATTTCAGGAGGTGTTTGCTTACAAGCTGCACCACATGACGATTTTACTCGTGGTTGAGTATCCGTTCATGCTTACTGCGGTAACGTGCCCAAAGCATCGCTTGTGTGGCGCTGGCTGGGGATGATTGGAATTTCAGCTGTGTAGTTGACTACAAGCTGGCCCGGACAATGTGTGTTGGTGGTATGAGCTATGCAGCAGTTGTCAGTCTTCTCCGTGGCATCCATATGCGTATGCCGCTGTGTCACTCCACTTGCAACGCGGACATAGTTGCCTAGGAAATTTCGCTCTGGCATCCTCATCAGTTGCTCAGGAGCCTCTTACCTTGCACTATCTTTATGAGCATGACCGTTCCGTCGGGTCCCGTCGTCATGCCCCAGTCTCCCGCCACGCTTCCTGTCGTCCTGGACTCGACCCTGCCGTCGTCCCGTGACCTGGGCGCGTCCCGCCGGCAGACTCCGGCGAGCTGCGGCTGCGCAGCTTCACCACCGAGCCGGCCATCAGCCGCGTGAACCCGCCGCTCGGCCACCGGGCCGAGCACCGCTACTGCGCGCCCGACGCCAGCCACCTGGCCGAGGCGTTCGTGGCCGCGTGCGCGCCAGACGCCGGCGTCCGCTGTGACGTGGTCGTGCGCAGCTTCTACCCGGTCGTGCGGGACCGCGTCATCGCTCGGGTGAGCAGCACCCGGCGGCGGCGCCCGAGGCAGTGTGCGGTTTTGTGTGGGACGGAGGCTGGTTTGACCTATGTGGTCTGAGCTTAGGTCTGATAGTGGGGTCCTTTGGTCTGAGCCTGAGCTTCGATTGTCCGCCCCCAGGCGGGAGACTGGAGAGCGGACAGGAGCTTTGATTGAAATGCTACTGCTGAGGATTTGTTGTGCGGGGCTTGGCGTTCATAAAGGCAAACGTGAGCGTATTTACGAGCTCCTGTGTATCTTAGGATCGAGTACACGCAGTCGTCGCGAATGGACAAAGTTGCCAGTCTATGCAGGCATTACCATGAGTGACACTCCCCGGCCACCGTGCGCGCTCTCCGGGAGCGATGTCCCCCTCCCCCCTCCGCGTCTGCTGGCCACTGACGTTTCCGTCCGTCTCGGGCAGGGCGTGCTGAGCTCGTCGCAGATCTTCGGTCTGGTGGAGGCGTGTCGCGAGGACGGCCGCCAGACGCGCCGCTTCGCCGTGCCGCTGACGCTGCTCGACGCCGGTGACGACCCGGCCCACCCGGCGCTCGAGATGACGCTCAGCGTCGACACGGCGCCGTCCGCCGCCGGCAGCCGGGCCGACCTCGGCAGCGGCACCGACGTCACGGCACCGGCGGCCAATCAGGCGCCGACGCGCGGAGACGCCGCCGCGCCGGCGACCAATCACGCACGGCTCCGCTCGGACAGCGAAGTCTGGCGGGCCAACGGGCTGCGGCCGGCGCCTGACGTCACCGAGCGACCGTCTAATCCGGAGCGGTTCGAGTGCGACCCGCGCAGTGAGCTGGAGCTGCGGCAGGCGGCGCGCGAGCCACCCGTGTCGCGCCGCCACACTTGGGTGTGCGGGGTTCGGGAGGAGCGGCCGCGGGCGGACGGACGCGCGCCGCCGGCCGCCACGCGTGAGGAGGGCAGCCAGACGGAGCTGGAGTCGGGCGCCAGCTCGCGGGACGGCCAGAGTCCGCCCATCTCGCAGGAGGGCGCGGCCGGGGACGCGGAGGAGGGTCGAGACTCCGACTCGCAGCCAACCTCTGAGTCAGAGATGCTGCAGCGGCTGCGGAAGCCGCTGGGTGCGCCAGCGGCGACGGGGCGCGACCGCCAGGCCGAGGACCGCTCCGACATCCTCACCAGCATCGAGCGAGACCTGGAGCGGCTCCGTAAGACCGGCTCCATCTTCGGTCGCCGACAGCAGTCGGCGGTGGGCTCGGACGGAGACGGCGACGGGAAAGACACCGATGCTGACGGGAGAGCGGAGCCGAAGACGGCGCCGGCTCCTCGCGTGTGCCCGGCGGAGCGGGGCGGCTCCGGAGAGCCGGTGGACCGCAGGGCATCCCGGGAGCCGGAGCGGAGAGCTTCGCGGGTGTCTGACGGGCGGCCGCCGCCGAGGGGCGGAGCCGGAGCCGGAGCCGGATACTCCGTGAGCGTGTCTGACTGCGGCTCCGAGTACCGCTCCGTGCCGCTGACGGAGAAAGCGGCCTTCCCGGCCCCGCACGAGCAGCAGGTGCTGTACGTGCGGACTGAGCGGACGGCCGGCTCGTCGGCCGCCAGCCCGAACACGTCCGGCACAGGCGTCTCCTCCCGCCCCAGCGGTCTGGAGCCGGCCCGGTCGCCGTCCGGCGCCGCCTCGCCTGCGCCCCGCCCGCCTTCCTCGCTGCAGAACTCGCCGATGGCAGCGTCCGGCGCGCCCTCGTCGGCCGCCGGCCCGGCCACGCCCACCACGCTGGCGGCCGGCTCGCTGGACGGCGCGCCGGAACCGGCGGCGGCGGAGGTGGCGCCGCCGCGCGGCGAGGCGGCCGCCTTCCGCGCGCAACTGACCGTAGTGGAGGCGCTGCACCTGCCGCGCATCGTGCGCGGCGAGCGTCGCGAGCTGCCGCGCGTGTTCGTCAGCGCGCAGACTGCCGGCGGTGTAGTGAGCAGCCCACTGAAGACGGGCACGCGACCGCGCTGGAACTGGAGCCGCACCGTCTGGGTGGGACGAGACTTGCTGCAGCAGGTGAGTCACTGGTGGGGTGCCGGGGGTGTGATCAAGCTCGGTATGGTCAGAGTAAGAACTCCTAAACCCAGAACTGGCAAAGGACTAAGAACTAGCTAACTTAAAGCTGAGAACGCCAAAATACCAGGAGTTCTCATGCTTATATCAGCAATGTATAGTTTTTGTTCGTGCGACAGAGCAGTGCGATGCCTGCAGAATAGTCTCGTGTTGTACCTGCAGTACACTCTGCCGATCTGAGTTCGAAACCCCGAACACATGTGAAACATGCCGAGTGTTTGCCTGTATGAGCCGCGCCCCGTCATTCCGCAGGAGTTCCACTACCTGGTGCTGAAGGTGTGGCACCGGGGCGGTGCCGGCCGCGACCGCGTGCTCGGGCTGGTGCTCATCGACCTGGTGCCCCTGCTGCACGGCCTCGACGAGCTGCTCGGCTGGTACAACATCGTCGACCTGGCCGGCGTCTGTCGCGGACAGATGAAGGTGCGCTGCGAGACTGGGGGCGGGGCGGAGGCCGGCAGCGGCAGGGACTGGCCGAAATGAAGGAGGGAGGGGCGGAGGGGGGGGGGGGGGGGGGGCGGACAGATGAAGGTGCGCTGCGAGACTGGGGCGAGGCGGAGGCCGGTGGCGGCAGGGACTGGCCGAAATGAAGGAGGGAGAGGCGGGGGGGGGGGGGGGGGGGGGGGGGGGGGGGGGGGGGGGGGGGGGGGGGGCGGACAGATGAAGGTGCGCCGCTAGACTGGGGACGGTGCGGAGGCCGGCGGCGGCAGGGACTGGCCGAAATGAAGGAAGGGGAAAGGGGGCGGCGTTGGTCGACGACTTATGTGGTGAATAATGGTTGCGTATGTTTTCTTTTAGGACGCCTCGTGATATTCTAAAATCGTATTCCCCACTCGGAAAGTATCTGGAGCGACACAGCCGCCCTCAAATCGGCATCACGTATCAGGCGGCATCTAGTAGAGTGCAAAATTTTGGCGCAAGGGATAGGCGAATGATCTGTTCTGGGTGGAGAGAATCCAGCAAGAAGTTGCTTATCGATGGAAGTCGATTATCGGATGCACCTGACTGCTCACGGCATGCTCGCCGCGCAGAGGCGTGGCAGCGCACATCTGAAACCGCTGGCACTTGCCATGGCGCGGCCGGCGAGTCAACGGCTCCGCGCCTGACCGGCGTCATCATGTGTTTCAGCTGAGCCTGCGTCCGCTGGACGACGTGCCGTGCGTGGAGCGGGACAGCCTGGACCTGTCCGTCACCCTGGACGACCCCGAGCGCACCTCGTACGTGACCTCCTCCCGCCACTCCTCGTTCCCCTCCCACCTGACCCGGTACCCCGAGGTGTTGATCAGAGCGGTGACACGGGCCAGCCATGATCGGTACGTGCGCCGCGCACTTGTTCGTCGCCGCTGCGTGGGATACAGCGCGATCGGTGACGGTTTGCCGGGGGTTTGATGCATGCTTCGACGTGTTTTTTTAAAGACTTTGTGACCTTCGGAAGAAGCCAGTGTTTTGGTGTCCAGGAATAATAACTTAGTTGACTAATTTTGTGAATAATTATTTCCACGTGTGTGAAGTTACGTAAACTGGCCTTCATGTGCGGTTGGGTACCACCCTTTGACAATGGCATGAACAAACCGAAGTTGTGCGTGTTTGGGGACCAATGTTTGAATTTGTATAGTAGTTGATCATGCCGACGGTTGTGTCCTCGACATCACGCCGTCGTTTCAACGCGACCTTGCCTTATATGAACACAGCCGTTTTTATGTGGGTACCCAGCGTCATGGCCCAGCGTGATCGTGCCCCTAACGGCCGCTATCCCATGGGGTTCGGCTAGGAGCCCATCTTCTCATTGCCACTTGGACATCCGCCCATTGGTCTGTGGATTATCGTACCTCGGCTTCGGAAAGGGAGCGAAACAAGCTTCCCATTGTATGTCTGTTTTATGCGTGCTCATATCGATCAAAACATCCCGTAAAAATGGGTAATTTTCCTGTGCCAATGCCAATAATGTCAATGATAATGCCACCAGTTGTACTTCGCTGTGTCCGCTGTCTGTGGGTGTTATGGTTCGAACACTCCATGCACGTGTGTTTTTCGTATTGCAGGGATACGCCTCTCGAACTGTCTCCGCGTGTAGAGACGGAGGCGGTGTCCAGCGGCGACGCCAACCACTTGAACTTGCCGCGGCCGCCGACTGGTGGCGGTAGCGGCGCATCACCAGAGTGTCTGCTGCAGATGCTTCCGTCGGCTGATGAGTGCGAACTGATGAATGGGACGAGGTCCTTTCTGACATCAGTTCTTAGGTAAGACGACATTGTGCACTATACAGCGCACTAGTGGTCGCAGATCATACATGTCTGTTGTGATGAAGTTTCCATGAAATATGCAAGTGCTGGCTCGTTTTTACGGTGAAGCACTTCGGTTAGCATATGGGTGTTTACACGCGGTTCCACTGAGTCATTAATTTGCACTAATACGATATAACAATACCACGTTAACACGGTCTCGGATGTGCCGGGGGCTAACGGGCAATTTGTGCCCTGAAGATTTTCCAGAATGATTTACGAACGATACGTTCATGCCAACTCTGCCATGCTGTAGGCAATTGAATAGGCGACCTTTTGATAGCCCAAGTTATATGTACCTTACAAGGTCGCTGACCTTACGGCTGACCTGGCGGGTCAAAGTAAGACAATGACTCAGCCAGAGCCATCCATAGGGAGTCGTTCAATATGGTGCGACAATGGAGCGACAAACGAAGCCATACATCTGCGACAGTCGCGTAGACGATTAGGCAATCCGGTGTAGGATTTCGTCTAAATCGCCCGATTTCGCCCGTGGGTTAGACATGAGGTTGACCGAGACTAAAACAAAGTTTTTAGCGGAGAGCTTGCGTTGTGGGGACAGCTTTTGACGTCTTTTTTTCGAATATTGCGATCAAAGGCGCGTCAACCAGTGTCTTATGTGTGCTTCATGAAGGTTACAGGAAGTCACTAACTTAGTATGACTCCGATATACATTTTGGTGTTAGGAACATACCGCCCAGTGTATTCCTTGCCCCTTATTCGACGTCACAAATCTAAACAAGTTTGTAGGTTTTAAGCCACCCTGATCACCGTTGGACGATCAAATATCACTGGTCTGAAACAAACTCGATCGACCTTTTGCGTATGACAAGTATTTAAGGTAAAGTTGGCTGCTTGAGGAGGTCTGAGGACGCTGCAGACACCGATCTGAAATACTACCCTTGTTTGACCTTACTTGACCTTAAGGTCTTGACTTAGGAAGGTTTAAAAAATACACAATGAGTTCACATACAGGTCTACTTATCCTATGACTCTGGTGTCTAGCTCCCTTGGCTTGAAGATCTTAGGCGGATTGAACTCATCCCACCCCCACTCGAGCGCGTCACATTCAACGGCCCACCTGGTGCGTGTTACACTTGTTTTGTATGACATCGCTCACTCGACAAGCATGACGACGGCGATCGCGTTTTGTCTCCAGGAAGAACCTGGAGGACTTGGACTCGCTGAAGGCGGCCATGATGCGCCGCATAGAGCCGGAGCGGGCTGACTGCCAAACTTCAGTACAAAGCCACGCTGTACAAAGCTCGCCCTCGCCGGCGGACAGGACGCAGTGTTCAGGGAGCTCGCGGCAGGAGCGGCCCCGGCACGGACCGAGCGGGGAGGGCCACGCCCGCGGCCGGGAGGCTCGAGACGCCTTGACCGGGGGCCGCGAGCGAGTCGACTCGCGAACGTACACCTCTCTCACGGACAGCGTCACGGGAAATGGCTCCTGGGAGCCGACCGTTGCGACAGCTGCTGGGCGGAGCGGCAAGCACAGCTTCACCGACCGGACGCCGCGCGAGCAGCGCTCCGACGACCCGGCCAGCGACCTGGTGTACGTGCGCGCTATGAACGACGTGTCGTCGGGCAACTACGCGAGCGGCGTGTTCTGTCACCGGCGCGAGGTGCGCGGTGGCCCGACCGCGGGCCCCGAGGTGGCGGCAGCCGGCAGCCGCCTCTTCAGCGACTCGGAGGCGTCCGAGCTGCGCGCGTCGGCCGCCTGGGACCGGCGCGAGTCGGGCAGCGGCTGCAGCGGCGCGCAGACGGCGCGTTCAGAGCTTCCCGCCTCCGTGGTCGACCTGATCGAGACAGCCGTGCGGCGTAGCGTCGAGACACCGGCGCCGGCCGCCACCTCTGACGACTCGGATTCGCTGCCGTTCGACGAGAACCTGCGCTCGCTCAACAACACGTCCGACTCGGAGATGGCCGGCCGCGCCACCTCCAACGCCGAACTGTTCATCAGCATCCTGCAGGAAATGGAGCGGGGCGAGGGTGCCGGTGTGCGGCGGCGGCGGCGGCGGCGGCGGCGGCGCCGCCGCCTCTCCGCCGCCGCCGGACGTGGCGGCCGCCGCGCTGGGGCTCGATCCTGGCACGCGACATGAGCCGCCTGTCCGAGGCAGTCACGCAGTCAGCCAGCAGCGGCGCCAGCTACGCCACGGCGCCTGAGCCGCCCGACAGCGATCGTACCTCCACGGCGCTGGCGTCGCTGGAGGAGGAGGCGCGGGCGCCCGACCTCCGGCCGCCGCAGCATCGTGACGGTGAAGGCGCTTCTGCCCCGCCGCTGCCGCCACCACCGGCCTGGCAGGACGAGGGCAGCGGCGACGGGCGGCGCTCGGCGCGGCGGAGTCGGCTGGCGGCGGCGCTGGACATGCGCTGAGGCCACCGCGCTCCGGCCGCGACGGGCGGCGCTCAGCGCGGCGGAGTCGGCTGGCGGCGACGCTGGACATGCGCCGAGGCCACCGCGCCCGCCGCGACGGGCGGCGCTCAGCGCGGCGGAGTCGGCTGGCGGCGGCGCTGGACATGCGCTGAGGCCACCGCGCTCCGGCCGCGACGGGCGGCGCTCAGCGCGGCGGATTCGGCTGGCGGCGGCGCTGGACATGCGCTGAGGCCATCGCGCTCCGGCCGCGACGGGCGGCGCTCAGCGCGGCGGAGTCGGCTGGCGGCGGCGCTGGACATGCGCTGAGGCCACCGCGCTCCGGCCGCGACGGGCGGCGCTCAGCCCGGCGGAGTCGGCTGGCGGCGGCGCTGGACATGCGCTAAGGCCACCGCGCTCCGGCCGCGACGGACGCCGTCGTCGGGACGGAGCGACCGCCAGTGACCCTCGGGCAGAACTGAGGTGTATGGGTTGTGTGCAAGGCGCGGGCATTGAAGGATGGCTGACGTAACGGGTGATGGTGCCGGCGGTTGTTCGCGTAGAGCGGGGCGACAAGGACGACGGGGTAGAGCGTAGGCTTGCGGTGTCCCAGAGACCCTGAGTGCCAGGGCTTGTCATGCATTCCAGCGGGCTAGGTGCCATCAGCCGGGAGCTGGTGCGCGAAAACTAGCGCTGAACTTGCCGAGTCGCGTTGGTCGGAGCGTGTTATCGAGTATTTCTCACTGCCGTCCATTTGCAGGTAATTTGAGCTCACTGCATCATCGAAAACATCGTGTTTTTTATGTACGCCGTCGCACGAGAACTTGTTAACAAATATCGACTCCTCTGACGACGGGAATGCGTGTTCGTGTTTCCTTGAAGTGTAATTCGTTACGTTCACACGTGCATTTTTGTTCAGTTGTGTTTGCTGGATTTGCATGTTTTATGGTAATAAACGTCTGGTATATCGATTCCCAGGCTGCATTTTGGTCCTAAAATGCAATACAGAAGCAAAGTTGTTGATTTCTGGACAGAACGGCTGCCGAACCGAAACAATCACATGTGATAGAGGCGCCTGCATAGATATTCTGTAACCCAAAAGTGACTGGAATTACCAGCAATACGGCGCACGTCTGGGGTAGGTACTGGAGCACGTCATGAGGCTTTTAAACCTTCTATGTGGTCCCTATATATGAGCTTATCATGCAGTGGCACTGTGGTACTTATGCGGAAGCAAACAAAGCCATTGTGTGTGATGGGGGAATGAGCACCCAAAGTACGGCATATTGGAGCTGTAATTAAGGTGGCATTGATTTTGACATGGCCGGTCCATCACCACCGCTGCTCCACGCTATTACAGGTTATGCACGTGCTTTAAAGGGCAAACTCACCATCCCCTTTTCTATCCTAACACTCACGTAAATGGTTCCCAAAAGCAGAGCCTGCATTCCTCCCCAGAGACGACGCGGCAGCCTCGCGACAGCGCGCTGGCCCTCTCCCCGCCTGCCACCCAGCTCCGCTGCACGCCGAGCCCCCTGCCCCGGCGGCGCCCCCTGTCGGCGGTCGCGGCCGGCCGCCGGCGCTGCCGACGCTGCCCGAGTCGGCGAGCGAGTCCCAGCCGCCGGACGGTGGGGCGCGCGCCTGGCCGGACCAGGCCGGGACCGGGCCAGCGCCGGCCAGGGCCACAGCTGCAGCCCGGCCGACCCGACGGCAGAGCTCGCCGCAGCTGGTTTATGGGGAATGCAGGCGAAGTGATAGTCTGGGGGTTCAGACCGGAAGACCGTGAGGCCCGGGCTGGGGTGGGCTGGAGCAGACGGGTGCCGTGGCGCTCGCTCGAGGGAGCTCGTTTGCAGCCACCTGGATCGCGTCGTTAGTTGTCACACCTCGTGTCCCGCCACACGGAGACCGTGTGGCGGAACATCCGGTCCGCTGCGCAGTCTCCGCGCCGGGGGTGCCCTAGATCTCGCCGCGCGAACCGGGCCTGGCATAATCAGGCGATTTGTGTGTGCTCTCCGGGCCGAGTGGAAGCCGCGACTGTGGGCCGGGCCGGCGACACTTTATCACGGCGGCGGCGGCTCGGCTGCCCCGAGCGGCTGCGGCAGACCGGAAAACATCGCAGAGGGCGGGAGACACAGAGCGAGAGAGATGGCAAACAAAGAAGGAGAGAGAGGGAGAGAGAAAGAGAGACAGAGAGAGACAGAGAGAGAGAGAGAGAGAGAGAGAGAGAGAGAGAGAGAGAGACGAGAGAGAGAGAGGAAGAGAGAGAGAGAAGAGATAGGAGAGATGAGAAGGAGAGAGAGATAGAGTAGCGATCGAGAGTAGAGAGGAGAGAAGAGAGAGAGTAAATCGTAGAGAGAGAGAGAGCGAGAGAGAGGATAGAGAGAGTAGAGAGATAGTAGAGAGGAGAGAGAGAAGAGAAGAGAGAAGAAGAGAGAGGAGAGAGGAGAGAGAGAGAGAGAGAGAGAGAGAGAGAAAGAAGAGAGAGAGATGAGAGAGAGAGGAGAGCCAGAGGAGAGAGAGAGCCAGAGAGAGCGATTACATGCATCCCCGAGCTCCACACTGCACTTTTTCCGCTAATGTGCCCTACATTGGGGCGTCAGCTTCAAACGCCCAGGCTTACACTGGTCCGAATGGGTCCATTTCTGACAAGGACAGGCATGACCACCCACACAGCACATCCCACTGTCCGGTAACGCCCGAGGTCTTGAAGTCCACGGCAATGACGGCTAAGTGGAGCGGCCGCCCCGATGGGAAGTGAGCACCGGATCAGATCACACGATCAGACAACCAGTGCAATCGTAAGGTTGGCTATTTTCGTAGTCGCGGTCCTGCGCTATCTCCGGCCGTGCGGTCGAATCTGAATCTGAGCTTGAATCGGGCCCACCTTTGCGCATCATGCTGGTCAGATTTTTAGCTGACGCATCTGCGGTGGGGAAATATTCACTCCTGATGGTGATGACCGATCGTCGTGCTGCTGCTGCTGCTGCTGCTGCTGCCGCTGCTGCTGCCGCTGCCATTATCTAACTGATGATGATAGGCTTCGACATAGGCAGTGGCGATGACGACTATGGGTGATTGTGAGATTGTAATGGCGACGATGCAGAGTTAGTTCCTGCTTGCTGACCGCTTGGTTCGTGGGCCTCTCTCTGACAGCTTGGTCACGTTGGGCCTCTGACCGTTTGGTCCGTGAGCCTCTGACCGCTTGGTCAGTGGGCCTCTCTCTGACAGCTTGGTCACGTGGGTCTCTGACCGCTAGTCCGTGGGCCTCTGACCGCTTGGTCACGTGGGCCCTCTCTGACAGCTTGGTCACGTGGGTCTCTGACCGCTTAGTCACGTGGGCCTCTGACCGCTTGGTCACGTGGGCCTCTCTCTGACAGCTTGGTCACGTGGGTCTGTGACCGCTTAGTTACGTGGGGCTCTGACCGCTTGGTCCGTGGGCCTCTCTCTGACAGCTTGGTCACGTGGGTCTCTGACCACTTAGTTACGTGGGCCTCTGACCTTGGTCACGTGGGCCTCTCTCTGACAGCTTGGTCACACGCGGGTCTTCGACCGCTTAGTTACGTGGGCCTCTGACCGCTTGGTCACGTGGCCCTCTCTGACAGCTTGTCACGTGGGTCTTTGACCGCTTAGTTACGTGGGGCTCGACCGCTTGTGTCACGTGGGCCTCTCTCTGACAGCTTGGTCCGTGGGTCTCTGACCACTTAGTTACGTGGGCCTCTGACCGCTTGGTCACGTGGGCCTCTCTCTGACAGCTTGGTCACGTGGCCTCTGACCACTGAGATACGTGAGCCCTGACCGCCTAGCCACGTGGGCCTCTGCCCGGCAGTCTGGTCGAGATCACAGCATTAGCTATAGACTGATATGACCATGCGAACCAGTGTGACAGATCGCTAAAGCAACCAGATCGCTCGAGTCCACCCCGAACAGGATCTTGTGCGTGAGTCCACACATTCGTATTACTTGCTCAGCTGCAGTGCCCCAGTGTTCCGATTGGGTCTTTAAACTCAAACTTCCTTTTATTGACCCCTAGATCATTTCCGGGAAACTCCCACCCGGTGTCTGCATGGGTGGTAACCCCCGCCGCCCCGAGACCGCTTCTGGCTGTGACGGCGGCACAGACGCGCGGCCCGACAGTGCGCCGGGGGTTACCACCGGCGCACTGCGGTGGTAACCCCGGCGGCTCGAGACCGTTCCTGCCTGTGACGGCGGCCACAGACGCGCGGCCCGAGCAGTGCGCCGACTCCGCTGAGAGGCTTGGCCCAGCCGCTGGAAAATTGATGGCAACAAGAATCCAGCGCGGGCTGAACGCGGCCCACCGAACTGCGGCGCAGATTGAGACCGCTCGCAGCACGCGCTGGTCCGCCGTCGCGGGCGACCGGGCTCTCCGGGAGCGCTGATAGAGAGTAATCTCGGCCCGGCCGCTCTCGGCGTGATCCGGTGAGCAGCCGGAACTGCCGGGTTTGGCTCGCGGCCTGCCTCTCGCCCGAGAGGCGTCACCTCCGGACCTGGCTGGCAGCAGGCCACGGTCTGCCTCTCCGCCCGAGAGCGTCACCTCCGGACCAGGCGGCGGTAGGCCACGGTCGGCCGCTCCGCCCGAGCGAGAGGCGTCACCTCCGGACCGGCTGGTAGGCCACGGTCGGCCGCTCC